ATAAATAGTAAAAAATTTAATTTAATTATAAAAAAATTATATAAAATATAAAATAAAAATCCGAAATCTCTTTATAATAGTATAGATAATATATAATATAATATTTATAATAATTAATATAGATAATATAGATAATCACGTTATTTAGGTATACTACGGATTAATTCATAATTTTACAAATCATTCATCAGCATCCACCTTTCTGTAAACCTAAACCTAAGAACTTCTGCAAAACAACCGCCATCTCTCTCGTTTCACATCTTTCTTTCAAAACATAAACCTAACACATCTCTGCAAAGATCCATCGAGTTCTTTCACTCAACTTCTCGGTTCTCTGGCACGACCTAAGGTTCCTGTTTCTGGCTTGTTCAATTGTTCTCTTCTTTTTCACTCTATTACATAGTGTCTTCTATTGTGATTTTTGTTTCGTTTTCCCATTCACACTTCATTTTACAATTTTAAGCAGTTTGGCAGTGAAATTACCGCAATTTTGTGTATTCCCCGTGTTTTTTTATTGTGGATTTAACTTATGTTGGATTAAATTAGGGTTTGACATGGCCAGAAGACGCAGCAGTAGCAGCGAGTCGAGTGAAGATGATGGGAGGAGACGCAGTGGCTGCGAATCTGAGGATGAAGAGAGGGATAGGTATCGGCGTGGTGGTAGGAGTGGTAGGAAGAGTTCTGGTCACCGCAGGGATAATAGTGATGGAAGTAACTCGGGGGAAGAGATAAATAGAGCTGAGAGGGATGGTGTTATGGGGAGTGATAAAAAAAGTAGGAGTAGGGAGAGAAAGGAGAAGTCAGAGAGCTCAGAGGAGGAGGGTCAGATTGTGAATAAAAAGAGGGTTAGTGAAGAGAAGGGAAAGGATGAGAGGCTGTCGCAGGATTATGATGGACGTGGGGGGAGAGATGCTGAAGAAGATAGCCGGGGTGATAGGGCTTCTCGTCGAGTGAATGGTCAGAGTGAAAGGCGAGGGGAGAAAGAGAGTCATAGATTGCATCACAGGGATAGATGGCGAGGAGGGGAGGAAGGCAAGAGTAGAATTGTGGATCGCCGTGGACGGCATGATTCAGAAGAAGATCACATTGAGCTGACCAGGAAATCAGACGGGTATAGTGATAGGGATAAGAGGCGAAAAGTGGAAAAGGGTGGTAACAGACACTCACGTTATGATTCGGAGGAAGATGATAGGGAGTTGGCAAGGAAATCAGAGAGGGATAGTGATAGGAGACGAAGAAGACCTGAAAGGGATGATGACAATGAGCGCAACCACAGGGATAAGGGTGTGAGCAAGCAGCAAGAAGAAAGTAGGAAGAAAGAGAATGGAAATGGGAGAACTGTTAGAGATGCAAATCCTCAACGACAGACAACTATCCCAGGAGGTAACCTGAACGGTGATGCATCTAATTTGGGCAAGAGTGGAGGTGTTTACATTCCCCCCTTTAAGATGGCGATGATGATGAAAGAAGTTCAGGATAAAAGTAGTGTAGAATATCAAAGGTTAACGTGGGATGCTCTGAGAAAGAGCATAAACGGGCTTGTAAATAAGGTTAATGCTACAAACATAAAAAATATAATTCCTGAATTGTTTTCGGAAAACCTGATCAGGGGAAGGGGACTTTTTTGTCGGTCATGTATGAAGTCACAGATGGCATCTCCGGGATTTACAGATGTTTTTGCTGCCTTGGTTGCTGTTGTTAATACAAAGTTTCCCGAGGTGGGGGATCTTTTGCTTAGAAGGATTGTTTTGCAGCTTAAGAGGGCTTATAAGCGGAATGACAAGGTATGTGATTATTATTCTTATTCTGAGATCAATTTTGTTTTTTCTAATTTTCTTTTATTTCTCTTTTGCTATGCTTCTGATTTGTTTTTTTCTTTGTTTGTTTTCATCATTGATAGCCTCAATTACTAGCAGCTGTTAAATTTATAGGGCATCTGGTGAATCAGCAAGTAGCTCATGAGATCATTGCTCTTGAGTTACTCACAGTTTTGCTCGAGAAACCTACTGACGATAGTGTTGAAGTAGCTGTTGGTTTTGTGACAGAATGTGGTTCAATACTGCAGGATCTCTCACCTAAGGGTCTTCATGGTGAGAATCCTCAAACTATATGGCAACTGTGTGCTTAGGTTTTTATTTTTAAATGTGATAACGACTTTGGCATTTGTCTTTTATTGTTTCCTATTGCACTTCCTTTTACATTATAAACCCTTTTTTCGTCTGCTTGATGGTATTAACTACTCTAGGATAGCACGTTAGAGATAAGTAAATGATGCTCGGGTTAAGATTACCTCATCTGCAAAAGAGGGGCAAACTGGAATCAAGGGTTTTAAGATTCCAGTTGCATGAAATCGTGTAAGGAAACAAGTTAGATCAAAGGTGACTTGCAGGAGTGCTAGATAATATATGGATGGAAGAAATGAAAATTAATTTGTCTGGTGTCGTGAGTTGTTAAAATATGAAACTTAAAATAATCCGGTGAAAATATGGTGTACTTGTACAAATAATTGACAACATCCAATGATCACACACCAACACAACAATATTGATTGCCAAACATTTATGGACAGATAAAATTTATGCTTGAAGATTGCCGACAATTGGGGAAAAGAGTGCATTGGAAGGTAGGTGTAAGCAAACAAACAATAAATAAACCACACAACCCTTCAAGAGAAGGATTTAGAAGTGGACAATCTACTGATGAGTTCCTTATTTACCCTGTGTGGGGCAAGCAGTTCTTGTTTAAAATATCAAAGCTGTAATATTGTCGTTTATTACTAAAACCTCCATGTGAGAAAACCTCCATGTGAGTTTTCTCGCTCGTGGTTAGTAAATAAGATTTAATAATTTGCAGGTATCTTTGAGCGTTTTCGTGGGATTCTTCATGAGGGAGAAATTGACAAACGTGTTCAGTTTCTGATTGAAGGCTTGTTTGCAATAAGAAAAGCGAAGTTTCAGGTACTTTTTATGGTTTGAGATAGGAATGACACATTAACATAATAAGACATACTTTTGTAAATAAAGGAGTACTTTAAAGAATGTGTTACAATGGTTGCATTGCATTAATAGGGTTATCCAGCTGTTCGTCCTGAGCTAGATCTTGTGGAGCAGGAAGATCAGTTAACTCATGAAGTGTCCTTGGATGAAGAGATAGATCCTGAGATTTCCCTTGGTATATTTTGTTTTTGGAAGTTTGTATATGTATTTTCTTTGATTGATTGTGGTCGCTGGCCATTTTGATTTCTTTATATTCTATTTTTGTTTTTTCTCAGATATATTCAAGCCAGACCCCAATTTCCTGGAGAATGAGAAGCGGTATGAAGAGTTGAAGAAATCAATGCTGGGTGAGGAATCCGAGGATGAAGAGGAAGGCATGGATGCTGAGTCAGATGATGAAGATGAAGAGGATGAGTCTGATGAAGAGGATGAAGAACAGATGCAAATAAAAGATGAAACAGAGACAAATCTTGTCAATCTTCGAAGGACAATATACTTAACGATTATGTCTAGTGTTGATTTTGAGGAAGCAGGTCATAAGCTTCTGAAAATTAAGCTAGAGCCAGGTCAAGAGGTGAGATCGGAATCACTGCTAGAATTCATTTTCTTTTGCTAAATTATTACTAGCTGCCTTTTTCTTATTTTAAATATTTTAGTATGTCAAATTTATATATTTTATGAACATGGAAGAACTTTAGAATCTAGTTCAATATATTGAAAAATTGAATGCTCTCTTTCTTTATGTCTCCCCCTGTATAAACTCACTAATTTGCGAATTTGTATCTTGGCACTACTTGATCTTTTAGATTTGAATTTAGCTTAGTATCACCTCGGATCAAGGTTATTTTATTTTGTTCTTTTAGTTTTTATCTGATTTCATACTCTTTTATATAACCAGTGGATATATGTCTAGCTGTTACAAGCTTTTAACCATTCCAAGCATAGACTCTGTATCTATACGTAGTTACTCAGACTGAACATTCGTTTCCAGAATAGAATGTATTGTTCTCCATTTGTTTAAGTTATGCCTTTTGCTTATTTGAACTAATTATAATTTTGTATTTTTTATAATTTGTGGCAGATGGAATTGTGCATTATGCTTTTGGAATGTTGCAGCCAAGAGAGAACCTATCTCCGATATTATGGTCTTCTGGGGCAGCGTTTCTGCATGATCAACAAAGTACACCAAGAAAATTTTGAGAAGTGCTTTGTGCAGCAGTACTCCATGATTCACCGACTTGAAACAAATAAACTGCGTAATGTGGCAAAATTTTTTGCTCATTTACTTGGCACAGATGCTTTACCTTGGCATGTTTTATCATATATACGCCTGACTGAAGAGGACACAACTTCTTCTTCACGTATATTTATTAAGATTCTCTTCCAGGTATTTCAAATAGTCTCGTGCTTCTTTATGCACCTGCATTATTATTTCTCGAAGTTTGAATTGTCAGCTTTAGAAATATACTTATAATGAGACCTGGAAAATATTTTGGGCTTCTTGTCTTGTAGACTGTGTAAATTATGCATGCATATCTGTATGTGGAAGATGTTGATATCTGTTTATGATGTTGCAGGAATTATCAGAACATCTTGGAATCCGGATGCTAAATGAGCGGTTAAACGATCCAACTATGCAAGAATCTTTTGAATCCATATTTCCAAAAGATAATCCAAAAAACACACGGTTCTGCATTAATTTCTTCACATCCATTGGTCTTGGTGGTCTTACCGAGAACCTACGTGAGTATTTGAAGAATATGCCACGTCTTATCATGCAACAACAAAAACAAGTTTCAGAATCTGAATCAGATGATGAGTCGGGGAGTTCTGCTTCATCGGATTCTGGTAGTTCAGACTCAGATTCAACTAGTTCTGATGAGAGTGACGCTGAGCATGATAGAAGACAGAGAAAGCGGAGGAGAAAATGAAGTTATTTTATTTTTAATTTTATAATTTTGCTTGTATGGAGATACTTTAGAGGTGGAAAAAAATTTGTACCAGGAAATGTAATCAAATTTTCGTTCAATTTTTTTTAAAAGAAGCCTTTATTCTGTAGATAATGTCTATTTGTTTTTAACAATGGGATCGTGACCTGTCATGGTCACATCGCAAGCCGATTTTCAAATACCTTAAAATGATGTCTATTTTTTGATAAACATTTCATATAGTGGCTGTGACGTGCTTCAAGGCCATAGATTTATACAATAGTTTTATTTTAGACACTTTCATACATCACGTCTTTTATTTTATTTTCATTTATTTCAATTGAATCTGGCATAATATAAAAGGTTATTTATGCATCACTTGTTCGAGAGGGTCATTAAATTAATGGTCAATTTGCAAAGATAATATTAATGTAGGTGGAGAAAAGAAAAGTATATAAAATATACACTTACTGGACCTAAGACACTTGTGACTTGATTAGGTAATTTGTAATTTTTTGGAAGATTTTAATTGAGAATTACGTATTTTAAGATAAATACACAATAATTACTTATATATTATGTATGGATTGAGTATCACAAGTATATTTTATAATCTTATTCTCATTTTTTAAAGGAAAAAAGTAACTATATATTTAAAGTAAAACATATTTAAACTCAAATGTGGAAAGCTTTGAAAGTTAGAAGGATCATGGAAATTAAATATTTGGATTCTTCTCCTTCTTGATATTCTCTTTTAGTCCTAATCTTATGACACCATATCAACTTTGTTCCCGCACCCTATCATAGCTTTCGGAACAGGAGTGGATGAGTGTTTTTCGGACAAGTGGTGAGTACCTTCTGGAAAACTGTTTTAGAAATTGATTTAGTGTGTTTGGAAAAATAAAATCTATAATGATGGGGTGCAAAGAAAAATAAATTTGATACACTGCAGGAAGAAATTTTGCAAACCAAAAGAGTCTCTATTGTCTAGATGACAAAAAAATTCACGCTCTCGAGTATTAAAGAATAAAATCTGCGAAAAATAATTAATATATGTAAATATTTACTATCTGCGGGTAGAGGATATTTTAATACCTGTTTATAAACAGGTTGAGTGTCTATTCCTACCCGCATATATATGTTATTTGTAAAAAATAAAAATAAAAATTTAATTTATATTTTATTTAATTAAAATTAAAATTAATTTATATTTTATAAAATTAAATTTTAATTTATATTATATTTATATATTCTTTTAATTTTATTTAAATTTTATTTTAATAATTTAGAAAATTTTATTTTTTT